TTGATTATTATATCTGAGATAATTTTCATAAATCAATGGCTATTATGTTAAATGTCGGCGAATTAAAAATGCACCCAAATTAATAAGATTTGAACAAAAAAGTTCATTATATAACGAGTTTATTTAAATTTAATACTAATTATTGCCGAATCGATAATTAATTAATTTTTTGCATTAAAACTTTGGGATAACCAGAAGCTCTAAATATTTTGAAATAAATTTATTGTTGTTTTATTTGCAAAATATTTCTTTAGTAAAAATATATTTAGCGATGCTTTGGGATAATCTAATCAATTATTATATCGTTAAAAATCTGTAATTATAACTTTCTATAATTTATTCACATTTTTGAAATTTATACTTATTTTGAATAATAAGAAATAATTCTTCATTAATGATATAATAAAAAATCAAAACATAGTTTTGGTCACAAACCGTTTCAAACATAAGAAATTAATTATACTTTAAAAATAGTTAATCAATTAAATATCAATATATCTGAACTTGATTTACAAACTCATTTGCTTAGAAAATTGACTATAAATTGAATTTGAATATAATCTAATATTGAACAAACAATTGAATGGATACTAAAATTAGGATAAAAACAAAAATAATGTTATTTTGAGTAACATTTGCCAAAAATACTCTTCATTTCTAGTGATCTATAAAACAAGTGTTTGTTCGCAAAGATCTTCCAAATTCGTGACCAAAACAGTGAAAAAGACTTTTTTAAAGCAATAAAAGTTTCAAATCTCAAGTTCAGGGAAACTTTTGGCTTTTATTTAGAGTTAATGTCAGCACTGGTATGGAAAGGATGTGAATATTGCAGTCAAAGACTATAAAGATTTTAATCGTATTTAGAATATGTTTTACAAAAATCTCATGAATACTGTTACCATTCAAATGGGTATTAAACTGAAATTCAATGTCAAAATGGTTTTAAATTTTATTGTTTTAAATGTTATATTAATTACATAATATCTTGAATTTAATCACTAAAATGTTTAAAAATTTAAATATAAAAACAAATTAACGGGAAAACTGTTTTAATGAAAGTTAAGTTTACATTTATATTCATTTATCGTTTGTTAGGAATTTTGTTTAGAGATCCTATGAAAACATCTAAATTTTAAAGTGAATCCCAATTTGAATGAATTATATAAATAAAAACGAATTTACAAAAGCGATTGAAGTTTTTAAAATCACGATTTAGTATCAGATGACAGGATTGAAGCTTTAAAAGTGAGTACCGGTGCAGATATGGTGTAGACTTGAGGATCAAATGTATAATGTATTTGTCAATAGGAGTCTCAATGGTTTCATATGACACTCAAAACAGGACTGAATGACTGAACGGAACAACAATGACATCCAATGATGTTTTGTTGGTCCCAATGGCTGTAAAAGACCACTCATTCACTCTCTCACTAACCATTCAATACTAACATCACATATACTCTTATATTTAGACAGAATTATTGAATGCATTCTTCAATCATTTGTCGTCAAAGAAATTATACGTTTGTTTGCAATGTTTTGGCACCAAATTCTCAAACCACTAAAAGTGAGGCTAAACTCTATATTTTACACAATTTTATAAGTTTTATATAATTAAATTTAATTTTAATAAAATAAAAATAATCACAAAGTTATTCATTAAATTCGATAAACCGATGGAAATAATAAATTCTGAATAATGAGGAAAAAGTAATTTATAATATAAAGGATAATTACTAGTAATATTTACTAATAATGTAATATAAAGTAGTGAAATATGTTATAATAGAGTCGACAGTATATTTGTTTGCATATAAATTGGAAAAGAATTGTCTTTTAGGCAAATATTACACAATAAAAGCGTGGAGTTTGTGGACACGTGTCGGCGCGATGTGTGCCGATGTGTTGCCCCGACCATTGAAATCTAAAAACAAGTTCAACTAAAATTGAAAGCAATGGAAATATAAACACAATATAAGCGCTCATATAATATATTGTGTTTATTCAGTCGTGTTTCGGAATAAATTTGAGATTAAATTTAGTTTTTTGTAAACTTTTGCGCAAAACTATAGCCGAGAATAAGGAGAAAACGAAAAAATATTTAACATAATTAGGAAGACTTCCCATGAATTTGAGACAACAATAGGGATGAGATGTTCTCTCAATTATTTGCATTCAAAAGCAGAACACAATTGGAAAATATAGCGAAAAAACTAGTGAATGAAAAAAGTTTTGTGATTGACTTCTGACGACTCAATCCAATTGTAAATTAAATCATAGACTCATAGACTGAACATAATATGAAAATTGGCGGCAATTTCTGTGTCTCCGATTCCCATGTCGTGTCAAAATGTATTCACATTTATATTATATAATAAAATAATTTTTATTTCTTTATTTAAGTTTGTTTTAGTGCTAAAAAACACTGCATTCGCTGTAATTTATCTGTCATTCCCTTATGTGAAGCACAAGTAGTTTTGAAGCAAAACACAACTTCTGAATACATGAGCCCATCAATGATCAGACAGTAAGTCAGACCCACTTAACTGCTGTGTAAGTATCGGATACAGAGTACAGGTGTAATGTATTATAGTTTTGTCCATAATTCGTAAATTATAGAAAATCATACAAATAATATGTGATTATATGATTACAATAGAAACGGCACTTCTATTGAATAAGACATTTGAAATGAAATTTGTTTTTATAATACACATCATATGATATGCGGTAGCAATAGATGCTAGAAATGCAAGTGAAATGCGATTCACCCGTAAAGCCAACTCTAAGAAAGCCAATTGTGAGGCAAAATATAATCCATAATCTAATGCCTCAAAGGTTTTGATAAAAATGTTAAGAATTTATGACAACAAATGAAAATAAAGACGAATTAATAGAAAGAAATTCTTTAATAACAGATGTATTGAAGAATTGTATATAAAGTCAAGAAACGGAGAACAGAATATAAATGTATACTAAAAGTGTCTGAAAGTGTCTAAAAGTATTTGAATGTCTGAATTAGAGGACTGTCGGACTGGGGTGTCGTTATCGGGACATCTTTGAAGCAATTTGTCAAACCATTTAACGTCTCAATAAACACTTCGCAAGACTTGCAGTGAAAAGTCAAGCGAATGGCATAACAGGTGGGTTTGAGTCGAGTCGAGCGGTCAGAGGTCACCAAAACAGTGAGGATATGCTGACTGGCATTCAATGCAAAGTCAAACTCTGCCGGAGCTGGAGGGGGAAGGCGTGACAATTGGATATCACGAGTGACACATTGGCACCAAATATTTGCTTACATTACCTGACATTCAATCGCTACACGATTATCGAGTGCTCTACTCTTGAATAATAGTAGTAATAGTGAACCCATTTATCCAATTGTTGCCCAAAAAGGCAAATACAGTGTCAGTTAAGCGAAAACTGTTGCGCATTATTAGCATTATATTAGCAAATAATCCCATAAATGATTGCCTTTCAGTCCTTTGTTACCAAACATTACCAATCGGTCCATCATTTGCAGCTTCCATACCAGTCCACTGTATATTAGGTTAGGTTTGCCTCAAACAACCTGTTGTTAGGCTAATGCCAGGTGTACTCAATTAGACTGAACAACAAAATCATATATTGCTTTCATTTAACGATCAAGAAATTTGAGATTGAAATCAATTTGCTTTTTGTTTTGATTCAAAATAAAAAATCTCTTTTTGAACTTTTATTTATTTATAAAATTTATTGAATCAAACAAAAAGTTTATGATTAATGAAAGGCTAAAACATTGTCGACTGAATTGATGTGATTCTTGAGGCTTTAAACTGATTTCATAACATTATACTAAACAAAAACTACCAAAAAATCCAGTTTTACTCATATATTCGTTGTTTAATTCAATAAATTGTTTCTTAAATTTATGAGATATTTAGAAATAAAGACAAAAATGAAATAAAAAAGATTTTAATTGAAAAAACAATGATTTTAATTGAGAAAGAGTTAATAAATAAAATTTAATATTTATTACAATCATATATAATATTAGTTAACTTTAAATGTAACCGCGTTTATATAATCCTATATAAAATACCATTATATTACACAATTATTTGATAGTAAATCTCATTTTACAATAATTCAATTTATCTTATATTAATTTCAATTATAAAACCGATAAAACATTAATAAAACAATTCTCACAAATGCTTTGGTATTGATTCAAATAAAAAACTTTTAAAAATCCATTAATTAGTGAAATACTATTAAAGGTAAGTAAAGGCAACAAATTCTGGAGATAATTGTGTAACAAATGATATATAAAATGACTTAATTATAATTGCATACATACTGTATATATAAATTGTAAACAGTTTAGACCTAAGAATAGTATTAATTTAAATCCAGTTTTACTCATATATTCGTTGTTTAATTCAATAAATTGTTTCTTAAATTTATGAGATATTTAGAAATAAAGACAAAAATGAAATAAAAAAGATTTTAATTGAAAAAACAATGATTTTAATCGAGAAAGAGTTAATAAATAAAATTTAATATTTATTACAATCATATATAATATTAGTTAACTTTAAATGTAACCGCGTTTATATAATCCTATATAAAATACCATTATATTACACAATTATTTTATAGTAAATCTCATTTTACAATAATTCAATTTATCTTATATTAATTTCAATTATAAAACCGATAAAACATTAATAAAAGAATTCTCGCATTCAGAATCAATGCTTTGGTATTGATTCAAATAAAAATCTTTTAAAAATCCATTAATTAGTGAAATACTATTAAATGTAAGTAAAGGCAACAAATTCTGGAGATAATTGTGTAACAAATGATATATAAAATGACTTAATTATAATTGCATACATACTGTATATATAAATTGTAAACAGTTTAGACCTAAGAATAGTATTAATTAATATAATGTATAATAAAATAATGAAATCATAAATTAGTAAGAATATTTGTTTTCTAATGATTAGATCAATGTTTTGGTTGACACATGAAAGCAATTTTCAAAAATAATGGCAATGAATGGCACTAAATGGCAGTCAACAGCCACTGAGTACATGAAAAATTATTATTACAAATTCACAGTTATATTCATCAAATTATTGTGCATTTATCACAAAACACTTTATATCCCAAACAGACAATCCATTGGAAGTAAAGGTATACTTGAAAGCCGCGGACGGATTTGAAACTCAATGAGCTGTTAATCGTAACACTTATGAAAATAGATTTCCATATAAAAGCTGATATTCAATATGATGTTGAAGTGGTCGATTGGATATCATTCAAGATTTTGCATCAGAATTGATAGCTCGCGGAAAGAGCGGCCGAGTTTGCCCTGAAGTGTCTGACGCTTTAATATGAAGGCTCTGACGGAGAGTAAGTGATTGTAACAACCCATGCACTTATTGTACCTGCAAATACAAAATATACAAAATATTGTCAAAATCGTAATAATAAATTATGTTTCCGAGTCAACACTACACATATATTTTAAGGAATCCACGAATTCCTCACACAATGTAAGGCAACATCTAATAGTGAAATATTTGTCGCACAGTTAGCACGTGTGGGCCATAACTGTCAGCGCAAACAAACACAACACAAATGAAAGTGAATTTCGAAAATGTTTTGACTTTTTTCAAGAAATAAAAAGAGAAAATATTTGTTCGCAAATCGTTAGAGAAAAATGGAAAACATTTGAAAAGAAATTTTGATAACTTTTTATAGCATTCCTTACATTTTTCTCTCTAAAGCCTCAAAATTTAAACTATTTTTTGAGACTATTATGACAGAGAAATTAAATTTAAAAAAACTTTTCTATTATGTTATGAAAGCAATTGTTTAGCGAAAGCAAAAGAAATTCAAAGAATATTTTAATTCCTATAATTTGCAGTAAAAACAAAAATATGGTTAAGACTACAGACAAGAGTAAAACAATTAGGGATTCGTTTGAATCACTTAAACAAAATCGAAATCACTTTCAATGCCAGACATAATAAACTGAATATAAGTTTGAATAAGAGTTTCGGCGCCGATATGTTGGCCTAACTCTTCATAATTACAATTCACACAACAATTAGTGGTTAAGAAAGGGAATTGTGGTCAACAAACAAAATACTGTTTTAGACAATAAAAGCAAACCAAAAGAATTGATTTATATGTGAATTAAAGAAAATAAATAAAAATAGTCTGTTTTGAACGCAAAGAGTTAACGCGAAAACTGAAATCAATGATTAAAAGGTAGAGAAAGTAAATTGTATTTAAATATAATAACAATAATAATAAAAACTGTTGAACACTAGAACCACACAATAGTTACTTAAATTTTATAATTGAGAAAAGTCTGCAAAAATTGAAGCAAATGTTAGACTAAGATTAAAATGTTATATTATTATGAATCACTTGAAGGAATTTGCAATAAAATATATGATTATATATTTCAGTTATGGTTAGAGTGTTTGCACCCTTTTCTTAGCCGGTTCTCTATTTGGCGCATAAATGCATAAATAAAACATAAGTAAAACTTGAGAAATGCGGGTATCGTAGGGATGGCATGCCTTAAACCCTTAATTTATTGGTATAAATCTTGCGGTAAACACAAGTGAATACATTTAAGAAGCTCTGAACGCATGCAAAGACTATCAGAGAATTTAAGGCAATAATAATAATTGAAATTTATTTTATTTAATAATCAGTTTCGTGTAATTGAAGACTGCTATCAGTTATTAAGAAAATGTGATTCAAGATATAAAAACAGTATTCATTATATATAGAAATATCTATCAAAACACTAAAGAGGAACAGTTGTGAGCACAGGGAGTATAAGTAGCAATAAATGTCTGCTAATGGCTCAACAAAGACCACTAATGTTTGAATGAAAACTCATATTTGGAAATGAAAACACATTTAAGAGATATGTTTGCAAATCAAATGGTTCGTATGAAAATCCTAAATACCTCTCTTCCCTGGATATATCGACACCAATTCCTGGCGGCGCTGTTATGTTGGTTTTGATTGTCGGCGCAAATTGTTTTAGTATTAATTTCAGGGCAGCGCAACCCACAGACATGTAGCTATCAAACAAAAATAAGAGACAAACAATAATTATTTATTATAAACACATATTACTGTAATCATCAAACTAAGGGTTTATAGCTTATAGTTTGGAAAATGTGCACATTTTGGCTAACTTTTCTAACTTTGCTAAGTTAGCCAGTCATGTACTGTAGTGGATAACCAAATTGGGTTCACAACCAGTCGTCAGAGATGCTCTCAACATAGGATACTCGCAAACCTTATATTATATAATGAATTATTTTAATTGTAACTTATATCACATAAACTATGATCAAACTCAGACTTATATAATCATTAAGTGTTAGTCAAATGAGGGGTGGAGTGAATGGAAACTCTTAGAGAACAAGTGTTTCAATACCTCCGGAAATATGTGAAAGCGATTTAGTCTCATAGACCGCCTACTATGGCATCTATTTATCATTTTAAAGCTAAACGTTTTTCACTTATATTGTGCATCACTACCGAACACAGCTCTGAAAAAACTGGAAAAACTCTCAAATCCTAATAAAGGGCTTTCAATAACAAAAAAGCGTTTCCACTGTTATTAGTTATAAAATGAGATCTGAGGTGAAAGTGCGAGTCTCGCATATCAATTGGCACAAACTCCGAGCACCGGCAGCCTTTTATGAGATTCCATATGGCGTTCATAAGGGCTTTTAATAGCGACTCTCAACTGTCAACAGCGCTGTAAGACCTGTAAGACTACTCGCATGTAATTATATGGAGCCTAACATTATTGCCATTACTGTATTAATACACAATACAGCGCAAAGCCATTCAGACATTCTTCGGTATAAATTATCTCAAAATTATTGCTATAATTTCTTATTGAGAAAATATGGCAACAATTTAAGGAAAAAGCAAATTAATGAACAATGAATTAATCGGTTGTAAAGATGAGAATCTGGAGATTCAATGTAACCGCAAATCTTCATAAGTTTGTTAAACCCTTACAACCCATTCAAAGAGTGCACTAAAATTGTGGATAAATTGATGTGGATAAATTTATTGATAAATTGATGTCATTTATTATGCTTTGATATGAAAACATATTTATATATTTCAATGCATGCATACAAACACACCCGCAAGAGATACTGTCGACTGATTTATTGCCATTTGCCTCAACCCATAATTTGTTTCAAATAATTGCCGCAATTTTCTTAATCTAAGTGCTCAAGTGCTCTACCATCAGACCATCACATCCCCATCACATAGCCTAACCTGACATTACATGAGCGCACACAACAACACCAAAAAACAAATGCATTCACTGTTTTAGTTGAGCCATATTTTTATGATCAAACTCTCAGATACAGTATCTCTAATAAGAAGTCAGACTAAAAATACAACAAAATTCATAAAAAATTCATAAAAAAATTCTTTTCGCAAATATCGATGTAGTGTTTGCGCCCGTATGGGCACAACACCAAAAAGACATGTTTGGCCATTGTTTGGACCCAATATGCGTGAGAAAGTATAGCTCACTTACACTTATTTTTTGCATTTTTCGACTTTTGAAAAACTTATGCAAAAATGAGTCGAGAATCAGACTTCAGAGTATTTAACAATCAAATGAGAAGATTTATGGATAGTTTCAGTTATTTTGCTCACAAGTTAGCCCATTGCCAGTCAGCTCTTTGTTACGGTTCACTACTTCTCTTTCAATACATAACTGGGAGGTCTGTATTGCATATCATTGAACGCCAACTCCAGTCCAGACAACTCTATGCTCTATACACTACACACACTATACCTCCCGATTTTCTCCCATTTTTGCCATTTATTATACTATTTTTATTATAGATATTGTGCTCAAAATATTATTGTAAAATATATTATCATTTCATTTATTATAGTATTGAGTCGTTGAGGAGTCCAACAGTGCCAACAGAACAGGTAAAAGATCTCAATCTAACAATACATGCCATACACAGCACCAACGGATCAGCACAGGGAGGATAGACTCCTAAAAGTTACTCCAATAACTTGTCAGCTGTCAGTGTCTACTAAAGTCTATTCTCGGCCTATAATTTCAAGTATTGTATCACAAATATTTCAAATCAATTTCGCTGTATTTGCACAATTCATTACTGGACAACTCACAATTCATTACAATTTTATAATTTAATAGTCATATAACAAGATTTGGGATTTTGTTCAATATTTCGAGACCAAGAGAACGGTCGATATCTTTTATATGTAAGCAATTATATAATGATGTATAGTATAGTTATAGATAAAAATTTGAAAAATATTGACCCTTATAATAAATTATTATATATTATTAATAATATATATTGTTACAATATTATACAATACAAAGTCACAACAAAATCATAGACAAACAATTTAATAAATTATAGACTTCATAAAATATGATATAAACTCATTATAATCAAAATAGGGTAACTAAATCCAAGTATAAATCTCAGTTCTAAATTACTGTATAACAATAAAATTATGATATCTCAATACAAAATACAAATACAAAACAATTTTTAAAAATAAAATATTTTTGATATAACAACTCTAACTTTAATAAAATTGTTTAATTATATAATTTATTTATGTCACTAACAATAACTATAATACCGGTACTGTATTTGTATTCTATAAATTTATCTATAAAACAATCGAAAGCATTCAAAAAATAAGCACAAATTATGTCACCACATTATTCAAAACTAATTTCATTGATTGTTCCCATATTTTAAATCATTAATTAAATAAAAAGTAAAATAAATCAATAATTTTTAATAAATTATTATCTAATGGTTATGTCATTTACGTAATATGTTTGCCATTCTTGATGACAGGAATCTTAACATTGGACTAGAATTGAAATCACTTCATAGAGAATTCTATACAATTATGTTCAATGAAACTATTAGAGACATCTACTGCAAGTGTACCCAACAAATACATTCAATGTAAAATATTACTGACGAAAACCGGTATTTCTATTTCCCATTTACCGGTAATATATATTTATAAACAAAATTTAATTTAATCCACACACAATTAACTTAATTATATGACAAAAATTATTTGACAGTACAAATAAAAATTCTATGGTACTTTCTATATTCAACGGGATGTCTAGTAGATTGTCTGGTACTAAACCTCATGAGACTTAATTTTTGAAACATTTCCAATTTATAAATTAAAAAGTGAATATAGAGTCCGATTGTTTAGAAATATTTGTAAAGATTGAGAGCATTTATGACAAATGAGTTGTTAAACTTTTGTGACACACTTGGGGCTCAGATTGAATTGGGATAAGAGTGTAATCATAAAGTAAAGTGAATGCAAACCTTTCATATTTACTCTGAAGCAGGTCTTGAATGCAAGGAAGAAGAATCTGACACATGTCTAGAGTCCAGACGGCTCTGAAAGCAACACATATCGAGTTAATTAGTGAATGGTTAGAGAAGGGAAGGCTATTGTAAACTAACGGCTTTAAAGTGATCACATTGAGTATATCGACGATCACAGACTGGTCCTCCATATGGATGGCCTGTTCGAGTGCATTGCGAGAGTCCTTAGAGCTCCACATCGCGAGGATTATACACATGTTTTTCCGCCGATGAGATAATACAGTGACTATGGATTTGTGTCCTCTCATGATGGCGGACATGGCTTCAGACTCAGACATTTCTGGTTGGGGGTGAATACCCAACCGCATGGTGTCCTGCAAGTGCTTCGGTAGGAATTCGTCCAAATCGAGGCCCGCCGGGTGGTCGCGGGTCTCGGGAATCAGTTCTAAGGGCGCGTCTAAGGGCGAGGGCGGAGACCGCGCTTCAGGGAAAACAATGGCAGCCTTTTGTTGAGAGTGGACTCCATTTGTACTGAGAATCGATGCGTTGATGGGCTTACAGTTGTCGTTAACCACAGGCCGTACTATAGATACAGTTTCAGAAGGACGCGGATGTACTAAATTCGTGATCCGATGGCTGTTATGGTTAATAGGAATCGTGGGATTCTTTGTGAAGGAATTATTGACGGAATGATTGTTATTATTAGAACTGCTAATGGAATTATTGATGGAATGGCTGATCGGGGTATGAGATAATTGGTTCAGTGCTGTGGCGGATGTGGACTTTACAAAGTTATTGGTGTTATTGTGAGTAGAATTCAATTTCAATGGTTGCAACTGATGTGGAATCGATGGAAGCGGTTCTCTGAAAGACGACTTGAGTGGATGGGATGGGACTTCGGGAGTGAGCGATGGAATGAACGCCAATTCCGCTAACGAACGACTATTTGCCATCACTTGTGGCGAACGGTTTATTTGAGACAATGAGCTGAATGGCGAAGAACTGTTCACAAGGTTTGGATCGCTATGTTTTCGTTGTAGATCTGCATTCAAATCAATATTTAATGTCATTTCTTAACAAATTACTTGCGTTGGCAGTGTGTGGTGCCTACCGGTGCAAAAAGGGCCCGAAATTAAGTCATTCGGAATAAATGGTATCACTTTGGGAGGGGTTCTGCATACTGTTTGTGGTGGGATTTAATGCATACAAATAATAGTAAATAAAAAGTGGACACAATGTGTGACAATACAAAAGAATGAAACAAAAAACAATGAGAGGATTAACGAGAAGTTAATAAAACTAACGATTGATGCGAGGCTTACACTCTCTTCTGGACTGAAAGATCTCCTTATAGTCGCCGATATTCATAATCTCTGCGAGGGATGACTCGTCCCCATCGGACGTTCCCGTCTCCGCCTCATCGCTTCGGTTCGACTCTAATGACCTGTCATTCAAATTAGATTATCATTATTTTAATTGCTTTTGTGGTGTTATCTTAAAAGAATAACTTGAGGTGAAATCAAAACCAAAAGATTATAATCTTTTAATTAAACTCTTTTACGCCTTTCGCAACAAATCATGAAAAATACAGAGAAATGAGAGCACAGGTTATCACTCGAGTCAAGAATAATGGACTAAAAGTGGAGTAAAGGAAAGAAAGCTGAGGAAAGGAATTGAAATAAAAATAAACTAAAAAATAAATAAAATTCACAGATAAATGAGAAATTTCTGAAAATATCTTTTATTATCTCTTACCATATAATGACACAAAATCTAATGAAATAAAAGTTCAAATAAAATTGATATTTTAAGTCGAAAAACTATCAGTTATTTCAAATAATCTATAGAATAGTCAATAAGAATCTGATGTGAATCACGAAAACATTTATGATTTGAGTCTTGGCCTCAATTTTTTATTTGTTGCAAATCTATTGTGTGTTTGATTTTATATTTTGAATAACAAAAGCAAAAAATTGTTTAAATGAAATGAAACATAAAAACATAAAAGAATAGCAATTATGGGAAGACATACTCGAGTTGCAAATGAGAAGTACTTGTTTGGCCCAAAACAAAGTTTCTTCGTGTGCTTTGTCTGCAGGAGTTAAGAGATCCAACAAAATTCAACATTTATTTCAGGGATTATTATAAGCATACGTTATAAGACGTTAAGACGTTTATAATTAGTTTCATTACAAATGTTTGCGAGCAAACAAACTAAAAGCACTCATACCTGGAAGGGGTGTCTCTTGAATAGATTTGTTTGGATGGAATGGGATTTCCAAATGGTTGTACTTTTTTCAAGTCAACCACATATACAGAAACGTTTGTTAGGGAGAAACCTCCGGCAATGAGTTGAGAATCACAAACAGAAAAATCACTGATTTTGCCCCAACCCATGATCAGGGTATCAAAAGTTCGAGCCGGTTCCCACCCGTACACCTGTTCACAACCATTATATTAGTTTGCATTCATTTAATTGAATCAATTCTCTCGTAACAAACCTTTAAGACATCTCGGGCTCCACTAAAGATAGCCTTTCCGTCGGAATGGAAGATGATTTGTCGGACAGGCCCGGCATCGTTCACAGTACTCGACACCTGTTGAAAGCTCTCCAAATCCCAGAATTTGACGGTTCCGTCGGCACTAGAACTCGCCAATAGGAACTCATTTGGATGAAAGGCTACGTCAGTGACGGCACCGGTATGCTCTTTGAGTTCGGCCAACATTTTACCGGCTGGTAAATCCCATAACTGTAAGCAAATAAACAAAAATTATAAAACAAAAACAAACAAAGAGTTGTAAATGAGGCCAACCTTAACAGATCCCTCGTCTCCACCCGATGCCAGCCATCGGCCGTCAGGACTAAACCTAAGACAGTGAACATCTTTGGAGTGACCCTGAAATCAATGAATGAATCATAAAAATTGAACAAAACTAAAGTAAATGTGAAGAAGACATACCTTATAGGTATACATACAACCCTTTTTGCGTATATCCCATAATTTAATGTTAGTGTCAAAGGAACCGGAGGCCACAAAATCTCCGTACGGGTGAAAGTCTAGACACCGGACATTCGTTTTATGTCCCGTTAATGTCCGAAGTACTGCAATATTTATGATCATTTTTATGAATAAAGGTATATATCATGTATTATACTATAAATGTGCAAATAATGCATACATTTGGCCGCTTCTAAATCCCATACTTTGAGGGCTCCAGAAGCAGATCCGGCACAGACTAAGTCTTCATTTTGGCTGAATTTGGCGCATTCGACTGCAGTGGTGTGACCGGTCAAGCTCTGTATCCAGACATACCGGTGCAAACAAAAATGATACCATCAATTCATTGACATTTAAGTGAAATGTAAATTGTGGGAAAAAATAATCGGAGAAATTGAGATAAAAATAAATAAAAGATTTCTTAAGCTATGAGCCATTAATAATAGAAGAATTAAATTTCAAATAAAACCTCAAATATAGAAATAATTTCATAAATGATTACATATTAAGAAATGATTACACTTAAGAAAAAACCGCTATTTTTAGAAAAATCTAAAAAACTATTCATTATTTTATGGTTGAAAAACCAGTTAATTGGTAAAACAGCTATTCATTAAAATATGCCTAAAAATTTTATTTTGGACTCAATTTTAAGTGTTTTTATGTGTGTTAATTAAGACCAAAAAATAATTTTAATGATAAACATTAAGGTAATGAATAATATTTACATTTCGATGTTTATATGCAATATATAATAAGATTCAGAATTTATGTGTTCCTTATTTATATTAAAACAATGTTTTGGTTTATATTAATGGGAATACTGTATTACTGTAATATTAAATTGACTGATAATGTAATGCATACGAGTCGTGAGAATAAGCAACAAAAAATATCGCATTTCAAAGCGACAAAAATAATAGCATTTCCTAAATATCTAATGATTTAAATAAGAAATTAAAATACGGAAACATATGGTCAACACATTAATCAATGATAAGTATATTTTTAAAATATTACTTTTATATAAACTGAAAGACAGTGTTGTATATAATAAGCATATATTAGTGCATCTTTATGTCAATAGTCGCATAAAATCAATAAAAGAGAAATTAAAAGTCATCGACCGATAGGTTAGTCTAAAGTATAAGTGCTGTGAAACTAATGACAGTAATAAATGCGAAATGACTGGTCGACAGTTCCCGGAATCAAATTATTACTACACAATAGGCTTTCCTCACAGAGAAATAAATTACATTTCAAATACAAATTATTAAATCCTAATCTAAGGGAAAATTCAGTGAATATTCAATTCGAGTAAATGGTATAATAATTGACCGAAAAGTCAATGATATTTATCTAAGCGTTAAGAAAAGGTTTGCCAATGAAATGAAGCGAAAGATTATTGAAACAAATTTCAAGAAATAAGTTAACATTCAATCAGTTATTCTGTCAATCATTTACGAAACCATTAAATAAGTGCTAAAAAGAGAAACACATTTGCATTACGTAACCAACACTTCAATCAATATGAAGGACAGCATAAGAATTTCATTAGGATATGATTGTGGGCAGAATTAAAGGTTAATATTTTTATTGCCAACAAAAATCAATGACAAGAACTGCAAATATTCTCTACATATACTTGTAAGCCATGTATGGACAGCGGCCTCATTACACAAAAACAATTAATAACACTAACTGTGAAACTACAGCATCGGATATAGATAGACAAGACATGGGGAATCATGCAAAATATATATGGTTTACGCTCTTTGCTAACGTATTGACCCAAAAATTATACTCTTAACTGATGTCTTAACTGATGTTTAATGCAAAGAACTCCTCTCTGTTTTGATTAGTGGGCTCACACTTAACACTCACTCAAAACACTTATCAAATGTTCACTATTTATACAATAATGAACTGAAAATAGAAATGTCGTAATGCATACCATAATACAGTTTTGTTTGCCAATCGCCCACAGATTTACTTTTTTATCCTCACCGCCGGTCACCATCACTCGACCCGACTTCTGGCCCAACGCCAGACACGTAACACTCGCCCCATGAGCCACAAACTCCTCTGAAAATCAATACAAATACATCCATTATAATCGAGTCCATCAATCAATTAGTAGTGAAAATGTTCACTAATACTATACAACTATACAATGCTTATTATTAGTGATTTCGTAAAATTGATTTCTGATAGTAATTAATTATTTGGTTGACAGCATGTAATCAACTTAAACGCCAAACATAATCAATTTCGATAACAATGACTCTCAATACTGTTTAAGCAAATGATTTGGGACTATTGCCAATAAATACAATCTTAGCTCATTTATATTAATATCCACTACTTATTAAGTTTACTTTTTTAAAATCCGATTCATCCCTGTAATTAAGATTATATTTTCTAATGAAATTGCTTAAATAACACTTCATATAATTTTTGTAATAATAAAAAAGTCTAGAATTTATTTAGTAGCATAGTATTAAAATACATTTTTGTATTTAATGAGTATAATATTTAATATACACCACAATATAGTAATAATTGCATTGAATTATTGAATGAATCCATTATTTTGAAATTGAGATCAAAGACAAAACGCTAAAATCATTATAACATTTGAAGGCCTAATTACATAGAAATGGACTTGAATTAGACGTTAAAGAGGATTACATAAAATAGCAATATTATAGCAAAATATGAAAAACTAATGCAATGCTAAGAATAAGACATATAAATTAAATTTAAAAAGTGAGTCCTTTGTGATGAAACTTTGAATGCATTTTAGATATGCTTTTTGTGTGCAATCATTGGGAAGCGGAAGAGATGTTATTATTTTATAACACTTTACAACACTATTGTGCGCCTATATTGAGTCAAATTTATCACAATTTAATTGTAAATATTTTACATTCAATTGTGCTGTCATTCAGTTGGTATTTAAAGAGCAGACAATATGTTTAGTAAAAGGTTTAAAAGTCTGCTAAGCCTGACACAAACAGTCTTTCCGGCATTTCATTACAATTATTATAAAGGAGTAATTGTCATAAATGTTAAATTTATATTTTACAACACTATTAGCCACCAAGAGATAGTAGAAATGGTAATGTTATACACAATAAGATATAACTCTTTATTTATTAAGTTATTAAAACAATTAGTTTACGACTAATGTATTTGTAATACAAGTATAATAGCGATCAAATAGATCTTTATAGTTGGTTTAACCAATAAATACTCTAGTATTAACTTATAAGACTTTAATAGTGTTATTAATACTTATATGATATAATTTATATCAATTATAGTAAAGACAATAAAAAATTATACATTAATAAAAGGTAACACCAACTGTAAGACAGGTAGTTATCCTTTTAATCACCAAAATTGTGTGTTTGAGAGTAAAATTGTTAACAAATGACAAAATAATATGTTTTGTTATAATTATGATGAGAATTACCTACAAATTAATGAAATTGTGATTTTAAGACAAAAATTGCGGTCTATTTGTAATCTTCTCTCTCAAGGATAACACAAATAAGGATAAAGAGAAACATAAAATTAAAACTAATGAAAAAACAACAATTTTGTTAAAAACCAGTTATAATACTGAAAATTAATCCCACGAATAATATTCATCATTAAATGTAAAAACAATTCACAATAATTACACACAAACTACACAAACGTCTACATTATATTAAAGTGAAGTCACGCTTTTGATGAATAGTGCACACAATGAATGCATAATTATTAGGTTTTGCTAATTACTAATATTTTGCACGTAAAACACAATTCTAACCATACAAATAGCTAACAATCAATAGCAATGTATTATAACTTCTCATTTCTAATCGGACAATAGCCTTACACTACATAGACTTATACCGTAAAATATATATAAAAATAATATCCATAACTGTACTCATGTATCATTTTTTACACACAATTTATTGGACTTTTTTGTGGTAATAAAGCGTCCATTTATTTAATAACCAGAATATCATTAAAACTAAACATTAACTCCAATGTGAAGTTTGTCAGAAATAAGTGTTAAATTAGACTAATTAAATTTAAAATGAGTATAAAACGTGAATTAATGCAAACTTTACCCCATTTTACACAGTATTTACTTTTGAGGGAAGAGTTCTTGCAATTCAATGATGTGAGAGATTTCCTGAGTGGCGGCCGAAGACTGAACACCGATGAAGACATACCACTGGGCATTGTCTTTG